GGAGCCCGTGATGGCCATGGGTGGAGAGACCAGAGCGGAGGGCTTGGGCAGAGCGCTGAGCGCCGCTGCGGTGCTGCCCATTTGTCACGCGTGAGCTCCAGCCAGCACCGAAGGGGAGGCAGGGACGGGCTGCATGCAGCGCCCACGCCTGACAGATGAGCTTTATCGGGTGCTACAACGACCCAGAAAATTCTGCACCAGCCCCAAGGGTGCCTTGGAGACCACAGGTAATACCTCACCTTTCCGCCTCTCCTGCCTTCCCGTCAGCTCTGGAGGGTTCCTCGGTACCAACCCAACCCCATGTTACGCACTGAATGTGTATTTAAAAAAAGCATAAAAGGGTAAAAGCTGAACTGCAGCCCTGCCCTACCTGGTAAAAAGCCGTTGACTTGTGTCTTTCCTGGAGACGCAACCAGGAGTGAAGTCTGAACAGACCCAGGGAGCCGGGGGGGTGGGGGGGGTGGGGAATGTCAGCGCCAGTCCCCATGGTCCCAGCAGCTGAGACACCTTTTGGCCGCCCCCCCGGGGTCCCCACAGCGATGTGCAAAGCCTGCTCCACATAACAACCAGTTTATTGCTTTGGTTTTTGTGTTTCTGAGCTTGCTCCCATGCTCACAGTCAAGATGGGTCCCTTTGCTCCACCAGCACAAAGCTTTCGCGCGGGTCTGTGGCCGGCAGCCCCGGGTGGAGCTGAGGCATCGACGGGGCGGTCTGGGGGCAGCCCACAAAGCAGCACCTGCAGGCGGCTGCTGGGGACGCAGCCGGGAGGGCTCGGGTGCGCAGCGAGCAGACCCCAAAGACTCGTCGTCCTCGCCGCATTGCGCGGTGCCCGCTCACGCAAGCCGTGGCGCTGTGGTGGCACCACCACGCTCACACCTAATGTCACTGACCGTGTATGCGCCCACTGGGGCGGCCGTGCTGGGGCACGGGTGGGTACTTCACCTCCTTGGGGTGGGCGTTAGAAATCCGAGAGGTCTAAGAAACGGCCTGCGAGAGTGGCAGGCGGCCGGGGAAGGAGGAGGAGGAGGTTGAAATCACTTGCAAGTGGTAAATCGGGGCCGGCCGCCTAAAGGATCCCTCGCTCAGCGGTGAGGGCCGGGGAGCACGATGTGCTTGGCTGTCTTGGCAGCCACCCTGGCACCCTGTAAGGAGCAGCCTGGCTGTCTCCAAGAGGAGACGTCCTTCTTGCCAGCAATACCGGTGAGGAATTTGTTGGAAATGCGTTTTAACTTCTCCTGGTAGGAACTGGTTTTAAGAAGAAAAGGTTTTTAATGCACCCCAAACAGCCCTGGGTTAAGGGAGAAAGGGCTAAGGCCAGAAAAAGTTTTTGTTTTGAGTTGGCGATCATTGTCCAGCTGGGAACAGAGGGAATATCACAGCTGTGAGAGGTCGGGGGGGCGTGGGGGTGCTGACGGGCACTGCCCAAGGATTGAGTGGTAAGAAGTCACTTTTGGAAAACGACTCCCACTTTGTGTTGAAGAACTTAAAATGGGTGTGCTACGGCCCCCGGATTTCTCTCTGGCACCATGTGCAGGAAAGCCCAGGTCCGAAGGAATCGGGGCAACGTGCCCACCTCAGCCTCGAACACTGTTTAAAAAACCCCCATCTTCTGCCTGCGGGCAGGGTATCTTGGCCAGTGCCCCAGGCTGGGCAACCCTTCCTTTGCCCCCAGAGTGATCTGGGGGGTTAACGACGGGGTTTTCCCAGGTGAGCGCTATCCCAGCGGTTCCGCTTCCCCTCCCAGCCGCCGCGATGCTCTGTCAAGGAGGAGACGCCTCTCGGGTGCCGGCCGGCGGCGCCGGGCGCTCCCGCTGCTGCAGCCTCCCCAGCAGGAGCAGCACGTTGTCGGTGAACTCATCCCGCTGCCTCCCCATCCCACGTAGCTTCACGGGCCGCAGGCTGCTGTGGGGGGGCTCGTACCGCTGAGGGCAGCAGACCTCGTTCAGGAGGAGCCAGGTACTGTCAGGGTCCACGTGCATTAAGTGGAGGAAGACACTTTGGAAAACAGCGGGGTGGGGGGGGAAAAAGGGAAGACGAGTAAGGAGAAGCCTTCTGATGACCCAGGGGGGTCGCTAACAGAGACCTACGGGAAGCTTTGATGCTGTCTGCGACCTCTGACAGTTGAACAGAGTTGGAGGTTCATCAGAGAGCACCATTAAATGGCTCCCGTGCCCAGGAGCAGACCGTTTGGTGGCTTCGTGTCTACGGGCAAGTGGGGGAAGAACGGTTGTTAGGCTGCGCGGTGAGTAATGGACCTGGGCTTCGGTCTTGGCACCGTGGGCTGCTGCTGGCAAAAGACTTCCTAAGCCAGCCTGTCCCAAGCGCTGGAGAAGCTGTCTGTGTTGTTTTCCAGCCTCCCTGGTTTTTGGGGAGTGAGGGGGCCAACCCGCCCCGACTGCCTTCCCTTCTCAGAAGCAGTAAAAGCCAGGGCAGCTCTCCAGGCTGGGCCGCGCGTGGAGCTGAATGCTGTACTGAGGGCTCATCCCAAGTCCCTGTGAGCTGCCTCCAAATTTTCTTCCTTCTGCACAGCACCTTTCACAAAGCAGGATTTTTTTTTTTTTTTAAAAAAAACCCCTTCATTAGCAATCAAATAGAGGAAGAGAGGAAGGACAGCTTCCTCTAATGCTCTGCTGCTGTGCTGATGGTTTTCACTTTGAATTTCAATGCCAAGGTAAGACGGGGATTTGAGTTTTGAGCAGCTTCCCCCTTTGGCCCCCAGCCCTCCACTGCTGTAGGGAAGATGCCGGGAGGGTCCTGCTGGAGCTGGAAGCTCCTAGGAGCGAAGCAGCAAATGGCTGACTTGCACGACCGACCCTTACTCATTTCTTCCTGCCAGTTCTGGCTGTCGGTAACCTTTGGGACTGGCCAGGTCTGCATCAGGCTTTAATGCACGCAAGGCGTACTGGGCTTAACTGGTATTAAGTTATCTGGCTGTGCCACGTACAGAATTAAACTGGAATTTGCAGGCTGCCCTGGCAGCACTGCGAGGCCTCCTCCTGCATGGTGCCGAGTATCCTGAGCTCCCATGGGGACTGCAAGCACCAGGGGTCAGCAGCGCTTGCCAGACCTGGGGGTCAGCTTTCCATGACCCCAGTCAATGCCTATCCATGCATCTGCAGGTCTCCAGGTTCTGCTGAAATCATGGGGCCGTGAGGAGAACACCAGCTGGGCCAGGTAATGTGAGGAGAAACCAGAGGGTAGGTCCGGTCTCCGTTTGCCCAAGCACAGGACAGAATGCCCCTCTCCAAAATCAAAGATCACCTGCTACCAAATCCAGACCTGACTGCTGTCAAAACTTCTCCCTGAAGAACGTTTGTCCCTAAAGCGAGCTTGCTTCCTACGTAGGGCAGGCAGAAACCCCTTAGCTCTCCTCTGAAAGGGAGTGCGGTGCCATGGGTAACCTGAAAAAGCCCAGGAATGCGATGGAGGCACTGGAAAGCTCCCTCATCTCCTCACAGCCTCGTGGCTGTACGACTCGTTACTG